TTTCCCTGAACTCCTCCTACATTTTACACAGTAGCCTAATCATCTTCTGGGAGATGGTTGGTGGTGTCATGTAGATGTGCAGTAATGGTTTATAATTTTGATTTTGCCCCGGGGGGTCAAATGGGGGTCGAAAAATGACGTTTTTTTATGCAAAAAGCCCCGTTTTCCCTGAACTCCTCCTACATTTTACACAGTAGCCTAATCATCAATTAGGAGAGTTAAATATTTTGAAAATTAGGTAAAACATCAACGTCAAGGGGTAAAAAATCATTGCATGCTGGGAAACATCTTGAATTCCTATGAGTAATTAATGCACATGTCAAATGTAAAAGTCATATTTCTTCTTAATCAAAAGTAATGAAAGAAAAAGTGAGCTAGCTCACATACCCCACGCTCCCCCAAAACTTGACGGTGAAACACATAATGAAAGGCACAGTGCACTTTAAATACATAGTATAGATCAAAAAGGGCAATAATTGCAAAAAAATCTTCACATCAAAATGTCTTACATATGAGGACATTTAAATGTGGAATGAAGTTTCTAGATAAATAATGGAATCAAAATTTCTTGGCATTATACAAATCCAAACATTAATTTGAAGTGGTGGGGGGGGGGGGAGAAATTTTCTTGAATAATAGGCAAAACTCTTTGGGATAAAAGAAACTATGTACAACAGTTTAAGAGGAGTGGTGCTAACAAACTGTTCATCTCTATATTCTAAATATGGCCAAAAAGTCTAAGTTGGAAAGTGTGGAAATTCCCGGAAAAATAAAGGAATCGGAATTTCCTGGTAATATGCACATCTACATATTGTGTCCTAAATATCTACAAATTTTGATGAAATTCTGTGCAGCGGTTTATGAGGAGTTGCGCTGACAAACTGTTCATCTCTATATTCAAGGTATGGCCAAATGCCTAAGTTAAAAAGTGCGGAAATTCCCGGAAAAAATAATGGAATCGGAATTTCCTGGTAATATGCACATCTACACATTGTGTCCTAAAAACCTGCAAAGTTTGACGAAATTCTGTGCAGCAGTTTATGAGGAGTTGCGCTGACAAACTGTTCATCTCTATATTCAAGGTATGGCCAAATGCCTAAGTTAAAAAGTGCGGAAATTCCCGGAAAAAATAATGGAATCGGAATTTCCTGGTAATATGCACATCTACACATTGTGTCCTAAATACCTGCAAAGTTTGACGAAATTCTGTGCAGCGATTTATGAGGAGTTGCGCTGACAAACTGTTCATCTCTATATTCAAGGTATGGCCAAATGCCTAAGTTAAAAAGTGCGGAAATTCCCGGAAAAAATAAAGGAATCGGAATTTCCTGGTAATATGCACATCTACACATTGTGTCCTAAATACCTGCAAAGTTTGACGAAATTCTGTGCAGCGGTTTATGAGGAGTTGCGCTGACAAACTGTTCATCTCTATATTCAAGGCATGGTCAAATGCGTAAGTTAAAAAGTGAGGAAATTCCCGGAAAAATAAAGGAATCGGAATTTCCTGGTAATATGCACATCTACACATTGTGTCCTAAATACCTGCAAAGTTTGACAAAATTCTGTGCAGCGGTTTATGAGGAGTTGCGCTGACAAACTGTTCATCTCTATATTCATTTATGGCCAAATGCCTAAGTTAAAAAGTGCGGAAATTCCCGGAAAAAATAAAGGAATCGGAATTTCCTGGTAATATGCACATCTACACATTGTGTCCTAAATACCTGCAAAGTTTGACGAAATTCTGTGCAGCGGTTTATGAGGAGTTGCACTGACAAAAAAAAAGAATGATTGACTGACTGACTGACTGACTGACGGACGGGTCAAAAACATTATACCTCCCGCAACTAGTTGTGTGGGGTATAATAAGCAAATGCTACATTTTTGAAAACTCACAAAAGGAGGTTAAGCTTCAAGGTCAAGGTCACAGAGTCAAAAGTCATGATTTATTTGGAAAGGTCTTATCACAGGTAATAATATACATGCATATATAATATGAATGCCCTAACTTTTCTCTTTCAAAATGATGCATTTAAAACATGTAATTTACGTCACACGTCACACGTAAAAACAAATACATATGTTTAATATGAATGCCTTGTCTCTTCTCACTCAATAGATATGACCGGGATGACCAAGGTTAAATTTATTGAGACAGATGGACAGACTGACATACAAATGTACATATTTCTATGTGAACTGGTTAAAATTGGCCCAGTGGTTCTAGAGAAGAAGTTAAAAATGTAAAAACTTTCCAGACAAACAGATGGACGACAGACGTAATGTGAATTGGAAACAAGAAAAGTTCAAATGAGTATTTCGAAAGGGTTACCATGGTTACAGTATTTGAAAAGCTTTTTTTCATGCAATTTCAATAAACAGTATGATTGAAAATACTTATACCTGTTGGAAGTTCACAATGAATACACATGTTTAACATGAAAGCCCTAGCACCTACTGATAAAAATTTAGGCTAAGTTTAAAGTTTGGTATTTTTCTTGTAACCAGAAGTCTCTGTCGAGACTGAAGCTCTACTGGTTTGTACTTATAATAAAGAAAGAGAAAAGTAACAGTTGGGATATAAAACTTTACAAAAGCAATAAATAGAATAATGACAAAAACTGATACACAGAATTATGTATCTTGCTGAAGTCTACTTGTGTAAGTTATATTGAAATCAGACCAAAACTGAAGGAGGAGTAGCATTTTAAATGTATTTCAAAGAAATTTCTTTTTTAAGTAACAACAGCAACACCGTTCATTGAAACAAAATCCTATATACAGAATTATGTATCTTAGTGTAGTCTACTTGTGTGCCAAGTTATACTGAAATCAGACCAAAACTGTAGGACAGTAGCATTTTGAATGTTTTTCACAGAAATTTCAATTTTTAGTAAAACGGCAACACCGTACTTTGAAATAAAAAACCCATTCTGTTTAGTCCACTTGTGTGCCAAGTTATAATAAAATCAGACCAAAACTGCAGGAGGAGTAGCATTTTGAAAGTTTTTTTTTAAATTCTATTTTTAGTAACAACGGCAACACCGTTCATTGAAATCAAAAACTGCTATATAGAATTATGTATCTATGTGTAATCTACTTGTGTGCCAAGTTATATTTAAATCAGACCAAAACTGTAGGAGATGTAGCATTTTGAATGATTTTCACAATTTTTTCTATTTTTAGTAACAACGGCAACACCATTCACCGAAATCAAAAACTGATACAAAGAATTATATATCTTAGTGTAGTCTATCTGTGTGCCAAGTTATATTGAAATCAGATCAAAACTGTAGGAGGAGTAGCATTTTGAATGGTTTTCACAAAAATTTCTATTTTTAGTAACAACGGCAACACCGTTCATCGAAATCAAAAACCGATACACAGAATTATGTATCTTAGTGTAGTCTACTTGTGTGCCAAATTATATTGAAATCAGATCAAAACTGTAGGAGGAGTAGCATTTTGAATGATTTTCACAAAAATTTCTATTTTTAGTAACAACGGCAACATACACAGAATTATGTATCTTAGTGTAGTCTACTTGTGTGCAAAGTTATACATAAATCAGACCAAAACTGTAGGAGGAGTTGCATTTTGAAAAATTGTTTACAGACGGATGATTGAAAGCCCTAGCACCTACTGATTAAAATTTAGGCTAAGTTTAAAGTTTGGTATTTTTCTTGTAAAAATGGGTAAAAATCCAAGGTCAAGAGATCAAGAGGTCAAAATTGGTGGTACCCAAATAAAAGGTCTTGTCACAAGGAAATGAAATGTGGAAGCCATGTGTATAGCCCATCCCACTTAAAACTTATGGGCAAGGTTAACGTTTCTGCGGACAAACAGTCAGACATAATATAAACACAAGAAACAAAATATGTATATAGTCAAATGGAAAAAAAATCTACTATTTTGGAGTCACAAGATCGATTGCAATTTCAGGGACAGGGAGTGGCTAGGGAGATTGGATCCCCCCTTGGAATTTGCTTTATTTGAATAAGAATGTATACTGAAACAAATAAAAAATGACTTTGGACATTGTCCCCCTTAAAAAACATTGACACCACGACCCCACTATCATTCTTTTTTATTTTGTTGCTTTGTTTTCAGTTTTTTTTCTTTGCTTGTCAGGAAATTCTGGGCTGGATTTTTTTTACTGAGGTGTGAACACCCCTCCCCCCTCCCGAAAAAATCTGGATCTACACCAGTAACTGAATGTCACATCAACAACTGGCGATAACTTCACAATGTGAAATTCGTATACTGTGGCATGTGATGATCTTTGACCCTTTTTGAACTTTAACCTAATCATATGCACGGTTAATTTATTCCAATCTATACTTAAACATGTACTTACCGACTGTCATAGGTCCTGTCAACTTCATGAAATATAATCCAATTAAAACACAAAATGAATTATTTCAATGCACACCAAACTGCATCAAATGCAATCCCATTCGGCAAACCTTGGCTGATTCAATTGCCTTATCAGATGAAGTGGGAATGCCGAGTGGTGCCTATAATGGGTGACGCAACCCAATGTGATGTAGAAATTTTCCAAAAGGTGTTTAGTAAAAGAACAAATTTTAAATTAATTCATAACAAACGATGTTTTAACATAACTTTTCCATCTAGCCTATTTAAAAAAAACGTATGTGCCGTGTGTTTGTGGTGTGTGTGTGTGTGGGGGGGGTATTAGTAAATTTAAAAAGTTCCTATTGTGAGCAAAACATTTATCAAAATCTAATTTACATCATTAATTAAATTCTGTTTTCTCAGACTGGTAATGAATTAAGCATATAATAAAAGTATAAGAGGTTCTGAGTCATAGGTCACATGGTTACAGGGTCTGAGAATTTCATACTCAATTTGACGAATACATGATCTGTGTAAATTATAGAATTATTTTGACTTTTTCCTTGGAAAGCCCAATATGTAAGAGGGTGTATTTAGAGGCAAACACCTTAGTGCGGGTATTACTGTCTCATGACAGCATCTAGTTATTCATATATCAGAGGAAAACTATGTCTATCGTGCTTGTCATGAATTTATTGTACTATAATTTTGTTTCAATTGATTAACAACAAAAAATACATACCCAACTACATCTCTAAACAGGTCTCTCTACACACAAAATAATACTGACAACAGATGTTTCAAAAATACAATTGACATTAGTCTTTTGAAGGTTAATAGATATGGGACCAGTTCATATCAACCTTCCAAGGACATCACACAGCAAGAGATCACAAAAATACTACATGTATATCATCACCAAAAATACGTCCAAATTTTAGGCTCTAATGACATATCTTTTTAACATCACTTCTAAAAGTTGGGTTCATAAAGGCATAAATTATAGGATTAGTAACATTATACGCAAAGTACATATAAAAAACAATGTTATTGTGGTTAACGGCACCAAGTGCCATCAACCAAGCAGGGAAAAAGGCAATGATAAAGACAACAGCAACAATAAATAGCATTAATGCTGTCTTTATGTTTGCTATTGTATCGTGATCTTTGATATGGTGGTGGTGATGATTTTTATGGGCCTGCTGCTGCTGTAGAGGCGACGTCTCATCTGCATTTTCTACTGGTCGAGAGGAGACGCCATTGTCACCTATTTCCACCTGCAAAATCTTTTGTTCTTTGGCGTTTTCGTTGTTGTCGTTAGCAGACAGAACAGTAAAAGACGAAGTCGGGGATGAGGTATTTTGTTTTGGCGGCTCTTTGAGAGAGGCCTTAAGACTAATGTTATTCATAGCTTTTTGTTTTCTTCTGTTGGACCTTCGTCGGGTGACGGAATAATAAATCATAGTATACAGCAACAGCACAATTATCAGGGATATCAAATAAAATGAAGAATAAATTTTCTGCCACGTTATTAAGTAAGCCATGCCCACAATTGTTCCTGGATAATTACATTGACCAGTGTATTCTTCCTGTTGATACGGTGTTGAAATAGTTTGGTGAATGATACCATCTTTACTGTGTGTCGCATCAGTGCAGTTTGAAAATTCCCCAGGGGATGAATCTGCATACATGTACACAGAATACGATATACAGCTAAGTATACCCAGAACACAGGCGAACACTGTCAACAGACCAATAACAGCCCTGGCCCGAGTTTTATTTAAGAGATGCAAGAATGGATGACAGATGCAGAGATAACGGTCTACAGCAATGGCCACCATTAAAAACGCAGACAGGGGCACGCTGAAGGTCAGGAGAAACATGTAAATTTTACACAGAGCGTCGTACAGAATCATAAACCTGAGGTATATCATACATGCAGTATACGGTATTATAATAGAACAGGTCAAAAAGTCATACACTGCCAGCCCAAGAATGAAAACCGACGAGGTGAGTTTATCCTTTTTCTTCGTGTACACAAAAATGACAATTCCATTTCCTATGATGCCTATGACGCTGAATACGGCCAGCATGCCTATAACGATGAGATCGGAAGTCTTCAGTGGACATCCCGGTAAACCCTCGTCAGCACTGCAGTCAATCTGTTCTGTGTGACAGTCCGTGCTGTTCATTTTTCATAAAATACCAGCTCCTGAAATTATAATTAGACGATAATTACTCAGAATAGAAAGAGGGGTTATTTACAGGTACCTACGTTTTTCACAGAGTAAAAGTGTTTTCATAATTTGACGAATACATTCAACGGAAATATTTCTTCATTAGAAATAGTTTAGTTAGATTTTCATTAAACCAATTTTCTGGTTCTGTTTTTCTAGGATGTATTTAAAAAATTTGATTGACCCTACAGAGACGCCACGATATATCGGTAACGGGCTTAAATCTTGACCTATTCTCGGCACTTAAGGCCTTTCAGTTTGAGTAGAGAATCTTTTTTGTGCTAACATCTACATTGACACATCGCCTCCGTTTTTCAGATTCATCCGAAGGACCCGCAGATTTCACTTCAAGCCGAGCGCATGCCGAAGGAAAAGTTGCTACCTATTATTTATAGACTAAGGTTAGTCGCGGCCGAGATTCGAACCTTGCGAAAACGGAGCTGACGCTCTATCGACTGAGCTACTATGCTAGATGATTGATAATTCATTGTTTAGTCTTGAGTAATGTATTTCGTTAAACACTTAAAAACATTTTCTATATAATAGGCGTTAGAACCGGGGGGGGGGGGGGGCTATCTTTTCCAAAGATAGACTTAGTATAGGCCTTGAACATTGCTCCGTAGGTTTAGCCCCCCCCCCCATTTTCACAAACATGTCCCAGTATGGGTTTACAAGAGGCCCATGGACCACATCGCTCACCTGAGCACTGTAGCTTGGAAATTTGTTATTGAAAAGTGTAAACCCAAAAGTGTTCCTAACCAATCCTTAAGGGGGAGAGGGTATGATTTGAACAAACTTGATTCTACACTAACTAAGGATGCTTGCATATTTCTTTGACTACCTGTGGCTTTATTGCCCTTTACATTTGAACTCACATTGTGGCCGCGCCCTATCCTGAAGGGGTCATGACTTGTACAAAATTGAATATACACTACCTGAGAATGCTTCCATATGAATATGACTAATCATGGCTTTGGCATTCTTGAAAAGAAGATTTTTATAATTTTCCTACATATTTCTATGGAAAACTTGGATTCCATGTTGTGGCCCCGCCCTACCCCAAGGGGTCATGATTTGAACAAACCCGAATCTACGCTACCTGAGGATGCTTCCAGATGAATATGATAATTCATGCCTTTGCTAATCTTGAGAAGAAGATCTAAAGTATTTCCCAATAAATTTCTATGTAAAACTTTGATCGGCCATTGTGGCCCCGCCCTACCCCCGGGGGTCATGATTTTAACAAACTTGAATCTATACTACCTGAGGATGCTTCCCTATAAATATGATCATTCATGATTTGAACAAACTTAAATCTACGCTACCTGAGGATGCTTCCCTATAAGTTTCAAGTTTCCTGGCACATTGGTTCTTGAGAAGATTTTTAAAATATACCACCAAATTTTCACTATTTCTGAATTATCTCCCCTTGAATAAGGGCGTGGCCCTTCATTTGAACAAAATTGACTCCCCTTCACCTAAGGATACTTTGTGGCAAGTTTGGTTGAATAAGGCCTAGTAGTTTTTGAGAAGATGAAAATGTAAAAAGTTTACAACGACAACAACAACGACAACGCCAACGACGACAGAAAAATTTTGATCAGAAAAGCTCACTTGTGCCTTCGGCTCATGTGAGCTAAAAATGGGAAAAGTGGTAGCGTTTGGAAAAAGAATTTAGTACTGAAAGAAGTTAACCCCCCCCCCCCCTTTCACTTCTTTTTTTGCTTGTCAATTTTTTTTTTTTTTTTTTTTTTTTTTTTTTGTTAGAAGGTCTAAAAAAAATTCTCACACTTACTCCCCCCCCTTTCAATTTGCCTCTGACGCCAATGTATATAAATCTTCACAAAAAAAATTTGATTTTTCCGAAATTTCAATTTATGGACAAGAAATAAATATTTGACCGCTCTGTGAATGTTGGACTGGTCGAGATATGGGGCATGCAGCAGTGTCATTTCTTATTAATCTCACTTTTACTATTTATTATTGTAGACGGTCGCCCAGGTGGCGCAGTGGTTAGAGCGTCTGCTCTAGAGTCGCGGACTACATGTAAGAAGCTGATCCTCAAATTGCGGATTCAAATCAACAGCGGGACATTGAAACTCCATAGGCGTCGGAAGCAAATTGAAAGGGGGTGGGGACTAAACTAACAAAAAAGGTCAACCCCAATTTTCAATGCCTATATTATGTATATATTTGCAAGTGGGGGGCTAAGCCCCCCTAGCCCCCCCCCCCCCCCCCCCGGTTCCGACGCCTATGCCCCCCCCCCGGTTCCGACGCTTATGGACTCTGTAAGCTGAGGTCTTGTGTCGTATTAGGTGCTGGCTCCTAAAAAATCCCTTACTGTTCAATGGCCCTTAAACCTGAAGATAGGAACGTTAAACAAACATTGTTGGCGGGATGAGGTATAATTTGCTGGTGATCTACTGTTTAGGAAGAACTACATTTCTGAACTGTATTTCTCTGGTTAAGGAATTTTTTTTAATGTTCATTTAAGAGTTTTTAACTCATGCTGAGACGCCACCACTTGCCGAGTTGGAATTTTGACACAGAACCTTGATTTATACAATGTACAGTCTCGTTTCAACGTCTTGCAGTACGATTCGAACGCGCGACATAGGAATTATTTACAATTTCCATCTAGAGCAAACATGCTTACCACTGCGTAACACATTTTTTCTTGTTGAATTATGTGAACAGATTTTAAAAAAGAGTAGTCTCCTAATTTTTCATATTAAATTGATGCCCATTTATATGCTTCTCATCAGCTTTTCCTTGAACATTCTCTTTTATTTGCGTTTAAAAAAGTATTGTTTTTCTTAATTTCATTTGTTACATGTACTTTACCCTCCAGATTAAAATTCACAAAATGCCTAAAAGCTTTGTTAGTTTCCTCCATGTCTGGTGTCCACTATAACACCACCTAATTAGCTCTTTAGAATGATATCGATTTGACGATTGTGTTCTTTCCTTGGACTGGGGAAAGTATAATTAAGGGCATCAGACATTTATTTTTTACAACACCTCTGATTAGACATCTCAGTTGTAATGAGATTATTTATTTTCCATTTTATGTCGTTCCTTACAAGAACTTTTCTCTACCTGTCAACTATTTTTAATCATCTCTTCATACTTGTTTTTTCGTTGTCATTGCCGTTTGTCTTGATCATGCCTGTCACTCACAGCGAGATTAGGCTTTCTCGAAAAGTTTTCATGTCTATTCATTAGATTCATTACTTTCGAGTATTAAATACATCCGTTTTGATGTTGTTATTGTAAAATATTGAGTTTATCTGAATGCAAAGTAATTCAATAAGGAAATTACTTTTGAAGACTTTTCAAAGCTTTCCCTTCCCTTGCATATCGGCAGTGAAAATTAAGAATCGATTTTTTTTCATGGATTCTCCATTATCTAAACTTTAGATATCAATATGAACTTACTGATAAGTGCTTTTCGTTAGTAGAAGATACACACGGGGGCTAGAAGTTATATTTGCCTGGAAATGACTGTTGTATACATACATTTAAAAATATGTTCAATCATTACGAACTTCAGATGCTTGAATAATTTTTCGCATATTTGCTGAGACACGAACAGTATCAATCTAGCTCGCAAAAAATCTTTAGGTTTGTGCTTTACTTATTCTAGAGGTATTGACATGTTTTTCCTTTTTTCTCTCTGTTTACGATCATATTTAATTTTCCCCCAAAATATTGGGCTGGGGGGTTTAAAAAGAATTTGAGCCATACTTAACCACACAGTCGCACTGATCACGGTAGCTCAGATAGTGGAGCGATCGGGAGTTCGAATCTCGATCGCGACTGACCTAAGTCGATTAAAAAAAATGGATGGCAACAGTCCCTATGCCATGCGCTCGGCACTTGGAAGTGAAAGTAGCGGGTCCTTCGGACGAGATTTAAAAACCGAATTCCCGTGGCACGGCAGGCGTTGGCATGATTTAGATCCCTCAGGCTTAACGGCCCTAAGTGCCGAGTAAAATCCAATGAATTCTAATAGTTTATGACTGTTTTTTCTCGAGATACTTTCAAGATGTATCTTGTATTATAAAGAACAAGGGCGCTTTTGATTGGAATTCGGCAGAAATCTGGGCGTACTTAAAAAGGGACAATTCTATCCACATGTGATGTCACATGAAATTTTAACATTTTTTTATTTATCGGGTTCCTGTGCAATAGAAAACGAAAATATTTTCCCGAAAGTGAATTTTGATTTGCTAAAAAATAACGTGAAAATTGGCTAGATCAGACATTAGGTACAAAAAGGGACATTTTTAAACACGTTTTTCTAAAAATTTTCTATGTCTGGATCTTCTCTCCATACTTTTGAAACGATATTTGTGTGCATTTTAATTTAAAGAAACAAATATACATTTGTAAAAAGTGGAGAGAAGACCCAGAGACCATAAATATGAACTTTTCCCAAAAAATTCCAACTGTTTAAGTGTGGTTTCCTTTAAAAATCAACCAAAGTGTGTAGCGGTGATAGCTCAGTAATATGGGCTACCTGTATTCAGTGCACTTGGAGTGAAAAGTTTTTGGTTCGAGCCTCGCATGGGGCGTTAATTTTTTTTCATGCAAACAACCATTTATGTTGTCAGTTTCATTTAAAAATGAAAATTTTAATCAGATTAAATTTTGGTTCAATTTGGTTCTCAAACCATTTGGTTCTGAATTCCAATCTTCTATTCTATGATGTAAATGTACACTTATCATCCATGTCTTTAATCTTTATAGATTTTTTTTTCTGGGAAACATTACTTTGTTATTGTACATCCTAGGGAAAACGGTCATAAATGTTTACAATCTGACAGTCTTTCAAACTAAATTAAAAAATTCTATGGTTGTGTTCGTAAAATCTGACCAGCTATGTTCAGCCAACCAAATCATGGACATTCAAACCATAAGTGTTTCGTACAAATAATTCATGCAGATCACTTGCCAAATACGCCCATCTTCT